TTGAATTTCTTTATAATCCTGTTTTTCACTGGTGCTTGCTCCATATTTTCAATCTTGCAGCCACAACCCACTTGATTAAAGTGGAGGGCAGTGTCAGACCATGAGAAGGTATGGAGAAAGTATTTATGAATTATTTTTTAAGAAAAAGAAATGAGCTTTTGAGAATAACATTTAAAAGACAGGTGGGGGGAAATATGAAAGAGGAGCTCAACTTGCAGGAAGAAAGGGCAAAAGAGAACATGGAAAAAGAAGGGAAATGGTTGCAAAAGATGTCTCAGAAAAATGACATCTGTTGCTGTTGACTATTAACACCGGGGAGAGGATGAGGAATGAATCATTTAAGATCATGGAGTCCAACTGAAAAGCAGCCTCTCTCCTCTAGAGATCAGCACAGATCACAAAGTAGTGTAGATAGCCTTTAATTCCTAATAGCAAGGGGTGTAGCTGGCATGCCCAGACACAGTCACGTTTCATCACTATGATCCTCCCTTCTCCATAAAACAAGACACCTTAACTCGGAAATGTCCCCCTGACCACTTTTTACAGGCAGATGTGCTTGTGGCAATATGCCAACACATGTCCTGTGCTTGCAGTGTTTCCTTCTCATGTGGCCATAATGACAGCTCTGCATGTAGGAGTTTCTAATTTACTCTTACCCTGAAGGATAACATAAGCAATATATTGGGGATGTTGTTAAACATGGCATGTTGTTACTCCTGTAAGCTGCTTTCTCCCTACAGATTCCATGGGTGAAAATTGACGTGTTCCCTCAGAAGGTTTCTTGTGCAGTGTATATCAATAGGTCACAGAGAAAAGCTTCAGAAGAGCTATGACAAGACATACTAATTAAAAAAACCAAAACATAATTGCTGGCATCCAGCCTTACAGTTCAGTGTGGGAAATTCTCCTTCCCACAGGATGGAGAGAGAGTAGAGTAAACTCATGTACAGCACCTCTTTACATACACAAACATAAATAATTAGAGTTAGTTCGTGTCTTGTTGGAAGTATAATTTGTATCAAGCCTTGGCTCTATTCCACTTTTGCTGTTTTCTTTATGAAAAAATAAATGTGTGTGGTCGTAAGTTAAATTTATCTTATAAATATGCATGATTAAAATCGACCCTATTTGCTCATGTGCCAGAATTGTCCCAGCAGGGGAATTTTTTAGAACCCAAATTTATTGCCTTGGCTCCTTGATTCTTCTGCTCCTTCGGCTCCATCCAGGGCTCTGGCCAAACACAAGCTGGAACAGAGCAGAGCATTTCTGCTGTGTGATCAGGTACACAGCGCCCAGCAGGGACAGCTGGCAAAAGTCACTGGTGCTGTTGGCTTTGTACCAGGGACAAATTCCCCTTTGATGGGAAAATGTAACCAAATTATACACCATTTAAATTATTGCTTGCTGGGCAAAAAACAGTGTTGCAGCTTGGGGTTTGGTCCCTGGGACATCCAGAGTGGTGGGAAACATAGAATGGTAGCATGACTTGATTTTGAAGGAACCTTAAAGATCATCTAGTTCCAACCCCTCTGCCATGGGGTTCCTTGGCACTAGACCAGGTTGCTGAAAGCCCTATCCAGCCTGGCCTTGAACACTTCCAGGGATGGGGCATCCACAGCTTCTCTAAGCAACCTGTGCCAGTGCCTCACCACCCTCACAGTGAAGAATTTTTTCCAAAACCTAATCTAAACCTGCCCTCTTTCAGTGTAAAGCCATTCCCTATTATTCCATCACTCCATGCCCTTGGCATGGAGAAGGGTGAGCTACACTGAGTTTCTCTGATGGCATGGAACTCACCCGTTATCTCGGACCTTCCAAGTTGAATAATACCATAAAAACAAGCTTATAATTCACTGTTTAGATTTTTCCCGTCCCAGGGGTGTCTACAGTGCTGGGCACATGTAATGCATTGTACTGGGCTCATTTGCAGCTTGAATGGCTCGTGCAGGTCAGCAGCAGAGTGCAGGCTTTTTCACCCCTTGAGCAATGAAGCATTGAGCAAAAGTTATTATAACCAATTAGTGGTGGCATTATTATTACCAATTAGTGGCTGTATGAAGCAAATCATTAGTCTTAGTTCAGTTATTAGCAGCCAGGTGTTCATGAAATGTGCCATGTGCAGCCAACATTGTACCTCAGCAGTTGCCGTCAAAGCTAGTCACTGAATTTGTGATGCTTCTCTGCATGGGGGGTTGTCATCCCCCTGCCCACCCCCCCCCGCATTGTGTTTGGAGTCAGTGTGTAGGGTTTTTTTGGTTGCTGCTGTGTTGTGTACCTAGTGAGTGAATAAGTAAGGCCATTTCAGTCTCTAGACTACTATTCTGAAACCTTAGTAAGTCATGATGTAAAGCCAAAAATTAGATTTCCAGTTTTGTTGTTGGTTGCTGCTTCATTTGTAAGAGCAAAATGGCCATGCCAGAGCAGGAGAGTTACATTAGAAAATTATTTTTCATTGAAAGTATTGTTTTTCTAGGATGCCTGTTTATAAAACCCTTAATAAGCAATATTTCCACACACTCATTAGTTTTGTACAATAACTTTCCAGAAGATGATTTAGACAGCAAGGGGCATTAATTGAATTCTATTTAAGAGCTTAAATTGCACTTTTATACTGTGTTAAAATTAAAAAAAATAAGAACTTAATGTGAAAAATTTATGATTGTATCTTTAGCATTAATTCCATATCGAACTACTTATTTAATTTTGGCTCATTTTGCAGGGATTTTCATAGCTGTAGCTCTAGAAATATATAGAACAACTAATAAGTAAAGTAAGCATAGCTAATAAAATTCCAATACACTGAATACTTATTGCAGAGTTGACTGTAATCATGTAATTAGAATAGGCATTAGAAATAATTTTTTTCTTGGAGAAAAAAGTAGGGGGTTAGAGTGCTGTTTTCTCTTTTGGTGAGTTAGATGTCTTCTGATTTTCAGTATTAGTGAGGAAAGGATTTGATGGTTTCTTTGAGGTATGTTTAAAGGAAATTAATTGTAGGATAGCATCGGTCAGGGCACTTCAAGCACAGCTGGGCAGGGACATCTGGTGGTGCACTAAAGGAATCAATGAACGCTTACAACTGGTAGTGCAGTTGCACTGGAATGGTTAAGGAAAAATGTCATTGTGGTCATACTGTGATTACTTTTCTGTTTCAATATTATTGTAGAAACACTTACATGCATGTTTAGATTTCAGTTTGTGTATGCTTTTAATTTACTGAAAAAGTAGGAACTAAGGCCCTATTCTTGAGCTGGCAGCTTGCAGGCATAATGTGTTGGACACCCTTAACTCAAAGGGCATTTAACCTACAGTTGGTTGTAGATCTAAAATCAAACTCGTGAAATCGGACCGTGGTTCTGTGGATAGAGTGGGGTAGATGTTAACCCTGTACATTTGGGCTCTGTTTGTAGTTCTGCTAGTGATTCACTGTGCTCTCTGGGCAAAGCTGATTTCATTTTTTTCACTCATCACTCTTTGAGTCCATCTTTCTGTAAAAGTGCAATGATAGTGTTTCAGCTTCTGAACTGTACCTATGGGCAAAGAAGCATATAAAGTAAAATTATTGCACATCTTTGATTTCAAATTAAAGATATGGTGAGCAATTTTATTTGTATGGACCCCTATTGATCATAAAAATGTGACCAATATTTAAACTTCAGTCATTTTAAAAGAGGAACTCTTTGGGATTAATTTTCTGTTGCTGTGTGTAACTGTGCCTGATACTTAGCACTGTGCACATGCTGACAAAACCAAGTCCTTGGAAACATATGTGTTGAAGGTCATACCCTTGGGAAGAGTTTCCCAGGAGTGTTTAATGCTGTGACATCTTACTAGCTCCACAGCAGGTGCTCCCCTGCCAGGACAAAGCAAGAGTTTCTTCATTTGTGAACGTCTTTTATCTCAGTATGGTTTTCCTGCTGTTCGTGTGTATCCAGCCATTGCTGGTACGTGTTGACCACTCATGGTGCCTTCTGGGAGGTGGTGTCACCTGCTCTTGGGGGTGTGTGGGCACAGTATTTCCAGGGACAACGTGGTCTCTGTAGGGTTATCTCTATCTGCTTCTGTTTACAAAGCTTTTGTGACTACTGTCCTGTCTTCTCTTAGAGTAGGTGTGCACTTGAAATGATGATGTTACTAGTTTGTTATTTGTGTATTGTATCAGGAATGCATTTTTATCATCATGTATTCCCCATACAGTTCTCTAAAAAGAAAAGGGGAAAAAAACATGAGTGTCTGCTCTTTCCTTTGCTACCAAGATGTTTTTTCAGGAGGAATCTGTAGCAGCTGCAAGCTTCAGCTCCTTTCATCATATCCTGGGCAGAAAAAAAAATCAATAACCTAAATCTTTCATAGCCAATTATGGGCTCTTTATTGTGGTCATTATTCTCACAAGGAACCCTGTTAGTCGGTAAGGAAGGAGATACATATATATATATAATCAAGCTCAGAATCAGACCAACCACTATATAATTGAAAAACTGGGACTTTCAGATTGAGAGTCTTCTTAAAGTAAGGAGCTGCAGAGATCAGCACTTTGCAGAGTAGAACAATTTATCTCAAAGTCAGAATAACTATTCCCTGCAGCTTTTCATGAGAGAGTGGGTATTTCATCGAGATCCAGCCCTCCTTTCTCTCCTTGCAGTAAAATTTATATTTTGTAAAACTCCTCATGACTTCTTTTCCATAAAGCAACAGTTCTTTGTCATATTCTGTCATCACCCTCATGGTTCTGTCACCATCCTTTAAAAATTTCTCCACTTGTAGTTTGGATAAAAGAGCGAAGCACTGGCATTTGATGCTATATCCTTTCTGTCAGAGCTGTCCCAAGGCTGTGGTGACAACTGTGAACTGAGAATAGCCACAGAGTTGTTCCAGATGTGCTGTTGTCTATTAATGAAAAATTTGTGTTCATCCACAGCCCTTCTATGCAATATTTAATCTTTAAGACTTTGTAATGCAAGCAGCCCATTATAGAGAAAACTGTTGGTTTTATGTTTCAGATGCAAAGACGGCTTGAAAGGATTTACATACTCTGCACTAAAGTAAGTAAAGCTTCAAGTCAAGATTTTGAGGAATCATCCATGGTGGCAGATGCATTGTAAGAAAAGAGTGTCCCTAAGAAGAAACATACTGTCGTAAAACAAGAGAGATTTGCATTGTTGGTTTAGGAAATATTTTACAGAGCTTACAGCCATGGAATATGATAGAAGGTCCCAATAATAAATTATTCAATTTATAGTCAGAAATATGGACGTGAAACACTCCTGTGACAACATGCAGACACAATGCTTTCTGAAATCACCAATTCACAGTGACATGTTGAATTACAAAGTTTTTATACCTTCATCACCCTCAACAAGACTACCATGGTACAGTGTAACTTGGATTATAGTGCAGAGTGCTAGGAAACATCTTGCCATTGTGTCCTCCATTGCCCTTGATACACAGTAATTCTACACCTAAGATGAACCAATATATTGACAACATCAACTTCTGGGTGAAGAAGGCTGAAGATGAAACCAAGCACAACAAAGTTAGTGCTCTTGGTGGGAATGAAAACATTTTGAAGATTTTGTAAAACAGATATTTTATAAAAATATTATAGTAATTATCAACCATTATGTAGCCCTCTTTTGCTGGAGATAATTGAGAAATTTCATGTGCCTTTTAATGTTCTTATTTAGTGTTCTTCCTTTGTCTGAGAGATGGACTTCCCTACTAATGTTTTTGTTCCTAGTTTTAAAAAATTCCTGACAGCAATTGTGTCCATTAGCTGAGGTTTAAATATATGTTGGTGAACTGATCTTTTCAAAGAGGTATGGGGTTTGGCAGCTGTATAGGATGAGTTTTTTCTGACCTAGGAGTAACTTCAAGCTTTTCTTAAAGACTTTGAGACTTATACAGGACTTGATATATTTTTTTTAGTTATTTAGGTAATTGTTTTGTTCTGTTTTTTTTTTTTTCTTTCAGGTTCATTGTAGGGAAAGAAGAAATCCCCACTCACTCTTTTTCTCCCGAAGCAGCGTTTTCAAAAACAGATAGAAAAATCAAGCATTGTGAAAAACTATCACAGCCAATGAACATACTGGCTCTAACGAAAAAGCTCATGGACAAAGTGTGAGTCAAAGTAAACAAAAGAAAAACAAAACGAATCATTGTTGCATGGTGCATTTTAATGTCTTGTTACCTTGTATTTAATAATGCTTTATAATACTTTCGCTTTGCATTTAAGTGTTTTTCTATTTCATTTTTCACTGGGTAGTTAGCAGTGGCAAATGATGAATTCCAATGAAAGCAAAACTTACGACCTGTATGTCATAGCTATGACTTGCAACATGCATTTTTCTTAAGGAGGAGAGTAAATTCAGTCAGTGCTGAATGCAGGCTGGTGGTTGCTTTTCCTGCAGTTTTCAGCAAAACCAGTTCATGGCATGGTTCTGCTGGAGCTAGTGGTGATATTAAGGAGAGAAATTACACACCAGCATTCTTACTGATGTCCATAAGTGACCGTTAACATTGTCTTTTGGGGGACCTACATCCCTGTGTTGCATAAAGGAGAACTACCTAAAAATAGGACTGGTGGCACATGGCTGCCTCCACTGTCAGGAGATAGGAAACTGAGAAGCAAAGAGTGAGTTTAAAACTTTTTTGCACAAGGTCAGATCTAGACATCTGAAGTTAGGCAAGGTAGGTTCCCTCCCTGTCTACAGGATCGAACTTATTGTTCTTTAGTATAAGCTTAAAGAAGTGACAGCAGATAGCTTTTCAGCTACCACAAGGAGTCATTCATTTACAGGGAAGATGGAGTGAAAAATGGACTAGATGTGTGTTCACACCACACTTATGAATCTTCACTTCCATTGACCTCTTCAGGAGCAGTTTTATGACCAGTTCTCTATGTGCTGACATGCAGGAGAGAGTCTTCCAAGCGCAGTGTGTTCTCAGAGTAGTGGCTTATCTTACTTGCTCAGCTGATGAACAAAAATGGAGTGACCCCCATCATACGGCAACTTCGTATGATTTGCTGTAGGTTTTAGTTGAAAAATATGAGGGAAGTCAGCAATGGCTTTTCAGGCATGACTGTATTAGACAACAAAAGACTTACAAAGAAGAGACAGCTCCAGCCATGTGCAGATTCTTTTAGCTGAGTTGCTTATGCCTATTTTGTCTTAAATACCTCTTTTTCAGTTTGCTGGAGATAGTTCATAGCTTTTCCACTGTTCATTAAATACAAGGATTGAGGGATTATAGGTGAAGAAGAGCATATTTTCTTTAGGGTTTTGAAATTCCCAACTCAGACATGCAAAAAACTTACAGTTTTCAGTTCCAGTACTCTTACAGGTTTCTCTTCCATATGGTTCTTTTCAGTATAATTGAGTCTAAATGCCTGTAACCTGAGCACATTCTCATTACAATTTTTGCTACATAAACTGACCTCACAGATGATTTATGGCCATTAGACTTTATAGTACACGATTCAGAACTTCCAAGATATTTGACACAGTATATAAATTGTGTAACTTATTTTACATTAAAGCTAAAATACTTGGATATAGCAAAATATAATGTTCAGACCAGGTATGACATTACTTCTTTTAATGCTACATAATACAGGCCTAGAAACTGTATAATCCACACATCCCAACATCCCAAGCAAGTCTCTTTTAAATGCTCAAGGTCAAATTCTCAGTCCAAAGGAGGAGCTACATAAAAATCCACATTGTAGAAGAAAGAGCCAAAAAGTGAAAGGCTTGTGATTGAGAGAAGTCTCATAGGGTATCTATGCGTGTTTCTATGTTCTGTATTGCCCTTCAGTGAACCTTACAATGGTATGAAAGATGTAAGGACACAGGTAACAGATACTTGGTCACATATCCTTCTAGAACCCTGGAGCAGAGACAAACTGGGAAAGGTCATGTCACTTTTCCTTGTTGAGCACAGCAGAAAATCTGTCCTTTAATTTAGCATTTAATGTGTAGCATGGCAAGAGGTTGGATCCAAATAAGTGTGCAGACACCTTTTTCTTGGTATACAACTAAAGTATTGTTAGTTTTTATTGTCCTTTTATGGCATCATAAAAGTTCACAGTGCCCTTCAGTGGGGTGATGGGGAGAATGAGCACTGGGCAAATAGCACTGTATGTATTTTTAAGCAAGAAAAATTTATGAATTCTCCTGTCGCTGACGCTGAAAACAGCTATGAGTTAATACGTGTTTCATTATGCTTTTTGCAGGTGCAAACATGGCCCGAGGCATAGATGCTGTAAACACTATGGAGATAATTGCATCTCATACTGTATTAAAGTAAGTGCAGAAAAAATTCGATTGACAAACTCTGGCAAGGGCAGGGTAAAAGTCTGTAGTCAGGAAAAGCATGTGCTTAGGAAGTGAGAAAGGAGCCTGTTACTCATTCTTCTTCTATTGAAAATGTGACAAGCCTGAAAACAGATTTTCTCAATTTAGGATGGGGTGGTGGTGGGGTTAAAGTTCTCTGGTCTTTCAGATTAGCTGTAGTGAATGAGTAACATAAAATGTGTGGGAAAAAATGGACTAGTAAGCAAGGCTCTTGTTTAACTATGTGATGCACTTCACGGCTGAGCCCACTTGTGACTCCCCCCTAAATAAAGCACCTGGAATGTGCTGCTGTGGCAGGCGGCCCCCATTCACGTGCAGCTGCGCAGCTCTGGCACGTCGCTGCCGGGCACTGGGCTCATTTCCCCAGTCATTTATTTTAAGGGTTTGGGGTAATGAGAGATTGGTCACAGTTGCTGCACCCAGGAAGAGCTGTTTATCTCTGGTGGTATAATTCATCCTCCATTATTAATGTGATCAGCGCATTTTTTTTCAAAGGAGCACTGTGCAGGGATTTGCCTTGGCTGACATTGGTTTGGCACAGGTGGTACCACCTGCTATGCCTGTTTTAGGAGTTGGTAAGACTCCAGACAGCTCAATCACTTAATAGTTGACCTGTTTTTATATAGGGAGCAGCAAAAATGGATTTGAGTATTTTCAGATGCTTTTGACATATATTACTTTCAAAAATAACTCTTTTAAATTAAAATTTTGTATACAGTTAATGTTATCTCAGAAACGCCATGCTTAAATTTAGCATCACAGTAGATGTAGTACAACATGTATTCATGTGTGTTTACTAACACCATCATTTTTTGTTTTGTTAACACTCTTTTTATACTGCAGTATGTTGGCATACCGTGTATAACATGGGTATAAGTTGTGCTGGAGTTGATAGGATTTGAGATGGTGCTTAACCGTTCTGCTGAATTCTGATGAGAATATTCAGTAGAACAGTCATGAATAGTTCAGGATAGTTATGTCACTTTTCTGTTGTAGGTATGACATATTTTTAACATACCCAGAATAAAATTACAGTTTTACAACCTGTCATCACTGTCTCAGTCCACTTAATGTTTCATTCATGGACTCTTTTCTTCAAGGCATAACATCTTTGGGGACACAGACTTTCCATTTGCTTGGTACTTGTTCAGTACCTTGCCCAGTATGCTTGCTGTTCAGTGCTTCCTGGCCCATTTTGTCTCCTATCTCCTGAGTGCTTATGTTTGGTCAGGTCAGAATCCTCTGGGGAGCAAACATTCCTGTGCCTCCATCTGCAGGGTACTCTGTTTTCCCCGTAGATATCAATTGTCTGGCCTTCAGAATCAATGTCCAAGACTGCAATGAATATTATATTCAAAACAAAGATTAAAATTAAGCAGGAGTGATTTTATGCAGATTTGATATGCTGCATGTCCAGATCTCTGCTGATGGTAGCATCTCCTGGTGTGCATCTGTTTTTTCACGGTACTTCAGTATAACTTCAGTCTGCTGCGCTTATTTGCATAGTAAAAATGCTGTCTTTCATTATTTAGGCATGTTTTACAGTAATTAATTCTTAACTACAATTAGTCCAGACTTGCTTTCAGAGCTTTTTATTAATATCACACAAAATCCTTATGCATCTTGTACTGCATGCTTAGCATTCAAATCTATAAGTACTGCCATAACACTATATTATTTTACAAGCACAGTTAAAGCAAACAACTAAGGATTTCTGTTAGAGTGCTCATCATGGAAGGGATGCCTCTTCTCCGTGGAAAACTCATAGTCTGCTGGAAGAATGTGTGTGAGACTTCATGGGTAAAGAGATGATTTGACCATTATGGAATATAATAAGCTTGAAACGGCTTTAAAACAGAAGGGTGAAAAAGAGATAGGAGTTAGTCTTGTTGAATTACTCTAGTTGAGAGCCCCAAATTTGATTTCAGTTTGTGAGTTTCTCAAATTATAGTAGACCAGCCCCACACTGCTCTCTCTGTCCTTTCTTAGGTGAGGGGGGAGACATGTTAATGATTAAAAGAACATGGGAGCAGGGCAGAAAGTGGATATTCAGGAGTACTCTTCCTCTTCATATTTAAATGTCCATTCATCATCATGGCTAGGCTTCGCGAACGAAGATTTGGGAAGGGCTCTACCCACTATTCTTGCAAGCGCGTTGGTGGCTAAAAAGGCCAATACGGGAAAGGCAAGTCCGGTTGCAAAAGACACAGCAGAAAGACTCCTTAGATGGTATATTCTGCAAGGCTCTATTCTTTCTGCGTTGTCTTTTCTCCTCAAGAGTGATCCTGCGTGCCTTCTCAAAAGCATCAGCAGCGTTATAAATGGTCTGTCTCCAGGCCTCCCGGTTAGAGGCCAGAGTAGACCAGTTATGGTGATCAATATGCCCAAGGCTGAGTTGTTGCTTCAGGGAGTCCTTGTATCTTTTCTTCGGAGCTCCTCTCTTGCGGCAGCCGGAGGCAAGTTCACCATAAAGCAGGATCTTAGGGAGGCGGTGGTCCTTCATCCTGGAGACGTGCCCTGCCCAGCGCAGTTGCGTTCTCAGTAGCATGGCTTCAATACTTGTGATTGCTGCCTGTTCAAGAACAGATGTATTGGTCACATAATCTGACCAGTGGATGTTCAGGATTGTGCGGAGGCAGCGTTGATGGAAGCGTTCTAGGAGACGCAGGATGTCCATTAGCTAGTTGACATTATCCATAATAGCTTTTATGTAACATTTAGTAGTGATGTACCACTTGATTTCATTTACTTCCCTTCAAGCTTTGGGTTTGCAAATGTCTAAAAGGAGCTGCCAGAAGCAGTCAAACAATATTTTTCCTTCTTTGGATTCCACTCAATTACAGTGAGGAGACATTATACAGCAGTAGAAGTCCAGTTGTCCATTTTTTTTGCTGGTGCTGCAGATGGGACCGGATAACCCTCCCAACTTACTAATGACTAGAATAACCACAAAGTAGGTCATAGAATAATGGAATGATTTGAGTTGGAAGGGGCCTTAAAGATCATCTCGTTCCAACCCTCCCTGCCATGGGCAGGGACATCTTGCACTAGACTAGGTTACTCAAAGCCGCATCCAACCTTGCTTTGAGCAGTTCCAGGGATGGGGCATCCACAACTTCTCTGACATTATTTTCTGATGATTGTAGTCTCAGTGTTCTGTCTCTTGAAGGAACATAGGCTGCTGTATACCCAGAATAAATGTTAATTATCTTAATTAATTTTAATACCTTAACTAGTTCCTAATGTATTACAACAGGTTGTCTGAGGTTTTGGTATGTTACTGAACTCTCTTTATATGCACACATGCTTTCTTGAATTTGAGTTAAAACCAATATCTTGACTATATTATTAAGAAATTTGTTTCTCAAAAGCAGAAAAAAGTTTTATTCAACAATATTGGAGATATGACATTACACTGTGCTGCTACTTCTGGCTGATTTGGTTTCCAACTCAAAATCTCTGTGGAGAAATGGCTCTTAGCAGAATTTTCTTTGCTCACTTACGTTTATTATAGTGTCCTGCTTATGCTTTCCTGTGTTCTACCTCCATTCTTCTTTGAGGTCTTCTTATGGAAGGCGAAAGTTACAATATAGTACATTAATTACAAGATATAACACTTCCTGTGACTCTGAAACAAACACCAGTAAGTGTGATATGCTTTCACCTGGTAGATGTAATGAGCTAAACAGATAGATTTTGTGCAATACTCACTGCTTTGTGCACATCAGCACTAAACCTCATGGTTCAGTTCAGCACTTCTAAGTTGGCTACTAATAGAAATAAAATCAGGGATACATTTGAGTGTTTTCAGTTGGAATTTAGATGTTTCCTCACCCCATCAGAGTCACCTTTCCTGGGTAAAAATGTCAAACATAGCATTCTGTTGTTTGTGGTTTTGTTTTGGGTTTTGTTCATAACTGCTGGGTTTAGGGCTTTCTTTTTGTATAATGGTACCTGGCATCATAATTATCCCTTTCTTTGGAAGATGAGAGCTATGTACTTTGCTGTGGGGTACCTCTTCATTTTAGGTGCAAATATATGTTCATCTTAATTGTGACATTTTAACTACACGAAATTCACAGCACATTTACACCTCTGCCTATCTCACATACCTTTTGGTAGGCATTTTCATTACAGAATCACAAGACTGGCTAGTGAGCTGTGCAGTATGTACAATTTATGTAACTTTAAGAGTAGCAGATGAAGGAATGGAAATTTTTCATTCAAAAAAAAATGCTACTGGATTATTGGATGACACAACGTATTTTCTTCCACTTGATTCTCATAAACCACTTATTGAATACCACAGAGAGTAATTGCTTCAGGAAGAGTTAATTACTAGATGTTTAACTACAATAAAAATTTTTGAGCTTTATGATGTATTATAAAGTCCTGCAGGAGGTAAAAATAGGGTGAGTTTCTGAGCCTGAAAAGTTGCTCAAACCCTCTGCCAGTTGTCCCTGTCACTGGAATTCTGTCTTTGTTACTGGAATTGAATAGGGTGCCTACCTTATTTGCCAATGGTGAGTGCACAGATAGTTTTCATGTAAGGCATCTTCTAACCCAAACCTAGATTTTATTCAGAATTAATAGAAAAGTTCAGCCATAGGGTAAGAATAATGATAGGAAGAGTTGGAGGAAGTTATAAGAGGGGGAATAATATGGAAAGAAAAAGTCAGTGTGGTTTTATGAAAAGGTAAGAAAAAGCAGATCTGTATCCAAGGTGGAGTAGTAAGTAAATTCATTGGAACCCATGTTATCCTTTCTCAGTAGCTCTGCACATAAACTCCCAGTTTTGCCCTTTCCCTTGCTGCAGGCAAGGAAAGTCTGTGCCAAGCCACCAGGGTTAATTTCTAATTCTCACACTTTCTGAAATTTATTTTTGGTGAACTTTTTCCTCCCTAGTGTTTTCTCCAGACATTTGAGTGTATAAGTGCTCTTTTTTTCCACCGCATTGCTTTCCTCTATAAACACATTTGTGGTTAAAAGCTGGTCAGTAACCTGGAAATGAAGTCATCAGGATTATTTCAAAGAACAGAATTTCGGAGTAGAAGAGAAATAGAGTTTCTCCCTTGAGACCTTTCAGAAATCCATAGAAATTAAAGAGGAGTCAATTGTCTGTGATTTTATTGCTTTTGCTATTTTACAGGGGAACAAGGAATGGGGAAGCATTTATGCATTTTTACATATTCTCTGCAGAGTGGGTTTTAAATTGCTCGATGTCAAAAACAAGTCCTTCTGTAGATGCTTTTGCTTTTCCTTTTTCTGAATGTACGGTTTCTTACCACAAAATCTTTCTTTCTTTTCTCTAGGGCTTCATTAGGATGTTTAGCATTGGTTACCTGATCCAGTGTTGCCTTCGGATTCCTTCCACCTTCCGGCATCTGTTTACGCAACCATCACGGCTATTTTCCCTCTTCTACAACAAGGAAAATTTCCAGCTTGGAGCTTTTTTGGGATCTTTCGTCAGTATATACAAAGTAAGTGTATAGCATACAGAAATAATAAATGCCATGGTTTTCATTTCACTTTTCATAATATCACAAAGAGCTAAAAAGTCCAGCTGCTTGATAGTACTGATGCTGTTTGCTACAGCATGTCACTGACAAATTCTGTGCTATTGCAATAATCAAATTGTAAACAGAAAACTAGTCTTCCATTTCCTGTTTTTTTTTCTATCATTTCCAGATAAACCAGATGGATTTTGCAGTGTTGTTTCGAGATCAGGAGATAGGGAGTACTTCAGAGAAAGTGCATTCAGATTTCAAAGGGAATTGCTCGTACACAAAAGCATTTTAGTGCAGACACAAGTAGTGACTGCAGTAGCAGCAGTGTTGCCAGAGAGAAACCATTTGCAGATTTTGTTGACTCAAATATCTGGAATTCTTATTTGACACTAAATAGCAGGAAATTGCAGAACATACAATGTGTAGTGAGGAGACATTGCACTTACAGCTTGGAAGTCTGCCCTTCTACACTATTATAAGATGACAGATTGTGAACTGATATGTATTCATATAGTATTGTTGGAATTAATCTAATTATGTTTATTTATGCCAAAAGAGAAGATGGCAAGGCACATGCCCTAAGGCAGAATACGTTGCACAGTGCAGTGCTGAAGTGGCTTTTGCACTTTTATATTCTTAATCACACTTGCAATTTTTCGCCTTCCACTTTATTCACACTGCAAAGTTATGATCATTCTGTATCCTTAAGGGAAAATACAAGAATTTATAAGGTTCCAGAGTTTAAAATTTTTGATGGCAAAATGCAAATAGGCTGTCCGAAGTTTATTTGAAAATTAAATTTTTGCTCAAACTTTAAGAACAGAACCTTTAGAGAAAAAAATACTTAAATTGGAAAAGCTGAAAAGACTTTGATGTTTTTAAAAGCTCTTTCCTAAGTGTAATTTAGTCTTACAGATGCTTATTTTATGAGGGTGACCTACTCTGACCTTTATTTACTATTTATTAAGTAGTGACACTGATGAGGCCACACTTCGAATCCTGTGTTTGATTTTGGACCCATCACTACAAGAAAGACATTGAGGTGCTGGACCATGTCCAGAGAAGGACAATGGAGCTGGTGAAGGGTCTGGAGCACAAGTCTTATGGGGAGTGGCTGAGGAAACTGGAGATGTTTAGTCTGGAGAAAAGGAGGCTCAAGGAAGACCTTCTCACTCTCTACAACTACCTGAAAGGGGGGTCATCCTCTTCTCCCGAATAACAAGTGATGGGACAAGAGGAAATGGCCTCAAGTTGTCCAGGGGAGTTTTAGATTGGGTAGTAGGAAATCTTTCTTCAACACAAGCATTGTCAAGCACTGAAACAGGCTGCCCAGGGAAGTGGTGGAATCTCCACCCCTAAAACTGTTCAAAAGGTGTGTGAATGTGGCGCTTGGGAACATGGTTTAGTGGTGGACTTGGTGAGTGCTGAGTTAACAGTTGGACTTGATGATCTTAAATGACCTTTGCAGGCTAAATGATCCTATGAGTCTGTGATTCTACTATATGTTATTGATTGCATTTCATAACTTACACAGATCTGGGTTACATTATATTTTTTTTCCAGGTTGAGATAAGCATGTAGGGCAGCAGAGATTCTATTCACTCAAAAAAATTGGACCACAGACAAAAAAAAGGGAAATGCGTGGGGCATTTTGAATCTGAAGGAATATGCAGTTCTAATTTTTTTAGGTTAATATGTTTTTGCGGTTCCAGAATTTATTGGATGTATGGAAAAATCTCAAGGGGTTTGGTGTGTAATTGAAAGCAGCCTTTATCATGGGAAAGAGTCTAGGCAGCTACAGCAAATGAAGATTATGTGAATTCAAGATTAGCTTTGGTATTAGATTGGTATTCAAATTAGATTGATCTGCTCTCTGATTTTGAAAGAAATTATAGTGGTAATCTGTAAATTAAAACACTGAAATATTTTGAGTACTGTGTCCAATTCTCTGACTTTAGTATCACCAGTGCTTTTAAAGATTGTTCTTTGGTTGTGTTGATGTCTTGTGTTTTTGTTAATGTAATTCAATGTTTCTTGATGTGGTAAAGAGAATTACTGAATCAGACAGAACATGTCCCAGTAATGAAAGTTTCTACAGCTCTTAAGAGATTTACAATTGTGATTTTTCATTTCTCTTACAAAGCTCTTACAATGGGAAAGTTTACTGCCTCCATATCAATTAAATTCCCTTTTATTATAGCAGTCTTATCAAGTAGAAGAATGCATTATCCATGGAACTGTTCAAAGCCAGGCTGAATGGGTCTCTGAGCAGTCTGATCTAGTGGAAGGTGTTCCTGCCCATGGCAGGGGGATTTGAACAAGATGATCTTTAAGGTTCCTTCCAACCCAAACTGTTCCATGACGCTATGATTATGGGTATTATCACACTACACTCTTATCGCGCTACACTCTTTATTCATACTGTGTGCTGTATCACTAGCTAATAGAGTAATATCTCCAGTCTATGTGTTATGAATGTTATGGGGCTAATCCTGCTTTCTTTTCACCTACAGGGCACAAGTTGCTTCCTGCGCTGGGTCCGGAACCTAGATGATGAGCTTCATGCACTTGTAGCTGGTGAGTCCATGAAAAGAAGTTTATTTTGCCTGTATTGAGATTCTGCAAATACTCATCTTGTCTGTCCTCCCGTTCCCTTTTCAGACTTCTGTGCTGAAAATAGGACTGTGTACATCATAATTGTGTCAAAGTGACAGTGATGTTTCAAGTAGCTTCAAAGAAAGGGTTGCAATTAAAATTACAAGGCAAATTCAATCAAATGGTGTGGAGTTTATGGTCAGCTCCAAGAACAGTATGTCACTGTGTGCACAAATATAGACATGTCCTTTAATTTTCGACTGTAGAGATGTGAGAGATGTGAGGTGCAAATAGTAACTCTTCCATATGTGACAGAATACACATTGGAAATTATGGGCTCCACTGGGTCCAAAGTAAAACCCTTTTGCCATGAAATTTGTGTGGTGGTGCAGGCCCTTCCCTGCTCTTTGTGCATCTGTCACATGTTGGAACCTCAGAGGTCTCTTATTCCAAAAAGAAGAGATTAGTTTGATACTGTGCTCCTGAGCACTGAAGTACAGATTTGTTTCAGAGTTTCAAAACTTTCTCTTTTTAATGACACAAACCATATTTGGACAGGCAGCACAGGAACGTCACTGAACTGTGTTGTAGCAACAGAAATAAATAGTCTTGTGCAGTGTGTGTTGGGCTGACATACCGCAACAGCAACACAAGTAACAGTGCTTTTGTTTTCTAATTGTTACAGGGTGTCTAGCAGGAATTTCTATGATGTTTTACAAAAGTACAACTATCTCTATGTATCTGGTGTCCAAATTAGTAGAGGTAAGTTATGACCCTTGTAACAGAGGTCTTCATCTATTTTCTCAAGGCAGAAAAAAGGAAATGGACTTCATAGGCTTTGTCTGGCAATTCCAGTAAAATACAAAGTTGTGTGGTGACAGTGTGTTTAAGTACCTGATGTGTTCCAAGAGGCATTGCTGCCATGGGGTCTCATTTCTTTCTTATATTCTTTTCTCTGACTCATTTTAAGAGTCCTTTATCCGCTGGTCTCCATGTATATTCTCATGAATTTTCTTAATCTCCTGATAACCCTTTGCTTTGTAGCTTTTGCATATTTTTTAAATCTGAAAGTTCCAAGAATGTGTGTTCTGCCAGAAACATAAATCAGACCTAGTCCTTAATTGCAGATTTATTGCCAAAAGCTACAGCTTAACTTCCTGCCTTTGTTCCCTAATTTTGGCATTCAGCAGTTTACAATAACTCAAAATGGCTTAGATTTTAGTCTATAGCTGGAGTTGTTTGTCAGTGTGCTTCAACTGATTGAATTCCCAGCTTTGGAATGAACTTTGTTCTAATTACTAATCTTCAAGCTTGAATTATTTCTATGAACTTGTTAAAATTAGGAGCCCAGGACAAAAAAGAAGTTATAGGGTTTGGATATCTTGATTATAATTTGCTAACCAGCATTTGATTTCTTACTTTGATTTTTCCATAAGATCGAGACTTAGTCATGATTATTCCCCAAACAGCACCACTGGAATGAGTTGAGAATGTTCTCTTACTATGCATCATCCTGAATCACATATTTCTGCAGACCTTGAGGGCCTCGTTCCCTAATGATATTTATCCACCTCCATTACCAGAGCAGAGTTCACTTAAAAGAACATAAATAGAAGGAACTTTTTTTTTTAATGCATAAAATTAAACATAAAAATGGAAGATATTCTCTGTTTATTCCTGCTCCTTGTTATCCTAGACAAAGCTCTGAAGGTAGTTCAGATATTGGTGATATAAAAAGAATTCTGAGTTATCCATATTGATTTTTAGAATACCAGTTGTAAAAAAACAATATTATCTTGTATTGCTGATGGTTTTCTCTGGACTTTGAGACATCGTGGCTGCAATGAAATGAGGAAAGTGCTGTGTGTTGTTTCTTTCTTTTATTTTTTAAACTACTTTTATCATCTTATGCAAGCCAAGGGTAACTGACCAAAGAGGCGTGTGCTGCTTTGCAAGGTCAGGCTGTGCTCAGGAAAATAAACTTTACATGTTTTCTCAGAAAGTAAAGTATGTGATTTCAAGCTGTTTAAGAACAGTGAATATTCACTTTGTTGGAATAGTTATAGCATTGTTCTTTTGCTTTTTTAAAATGAAGAATTTAATAGAAGAAACTTTCCCTTTTTTGTCTTTAGGATCTCTAACACCCAAGCTGTTGCTAGTCCTGTTCTATGCATTAATAGCTTCTTATTAGATTGATCTTGGATAACTTCTGTAAGTTATTTCAATCAGTTTCACATTTGTGGACATATAAAAAATATATCAGCATAGTTAATAATGTTGACTTTTTTTTTGAAATTGTGAAATAAAAAATAAAAAGTTACTTTTTTTTTACTCAGCATTTTTTGTCTATTTTTATAGACTATATACTTCAAAGGCATTGAAGCAGGGAAGGTTCCCTATTTTCCTCATGCAGACAGCATCATCTATGCCATTTCTACATCGATATGCTTTCAGGCAGTAAGTATGTCATTCTCTAACAGAACATCAAGTTCTTTAAGTCACATGTTGAATGAAACTAGGAGCACAGGAGCACAGTTATATAGAAAAGATGGTGTGATGTAGTGATTCCAGCAAAATGCTGTGAATCGGGGCTCCTGCATCCTGTTTTTGAGTGTCACTGTGGGAAGGTCATTTCTAGGACTCAATTTCTCATATGCTTATAGCTGAATATATTATACAAAGCATTGAATTCTTTGGAAAGGATCTTAAAATGCATTGACCCAGAAGATGAAAATACATGTGTAGACTTCCATAAGCACATGAAAGGACAGTTTCTCAAGGCAAACAATACAATAGAGTATTTTATGGGTTTTTAGATCAACTGAAAGCTTTGACTTTCAGCTGACTTGAATTAATTGAAGTTATTGAATTAATTGCCTAGTTGAAAAAAAATCTGAAAAAAAAATAGTAAAAAACCCTGAAGTTTTACATTTGACACAAGCTTTAATTAACATCTTTTGCACTTCTAAAGTCAGTTCCATGCCTGTATCCTCAGTCCTTTTATCTTTTGCATCAGCTGGAAAAGCAACTTTTCAGTGGTACACAAATTACTATTCTATTTCTGCTGAAACATCCCACTGCATATTTTCTGGACCTCCATAACTATCTGTATATGTATTTTCTTAGAGATCTTTGCTGAGATGTTTGTTATTCACTATATTCATAAGTGACATGGAAAAATAATGGAATGGAGAGAAGACAAGGATTTTGGTTGTAAGACATTATTTAAGATAATGTAACGTTGAAATTAAATATGACTACAAGAAATGGTAGATCACAAAATGCAAAGTAGGTGAGGTACAAAGTAGCAGGTAAATTTTGCATCTGCAAGTGCAAAATCATGTACATAAGAATGATGATTGTTGTTGTTTTCTCTGCAATGAGATGTGATTAAATTGCCACCACTTGTAAATGATAGTCTTCTGGGAATATCAGTCTGTGCTGGGGGTGGTCACACAGAGCATTGAATTCAGCAGAAAGCAGTAAAAGTTATTTCCACAGAAATCCTTTTGGTAGTTTTGGCAACATAATGTAGCAGATGAAGCTCTTGCCTGATGCTGTCAGCTGTCTCTGATAGAATCCTCTCCTTGCAGGCTGTCATGGAAGTTCAGAACCTGAGACCTTCATACTGGAAATTTCTTTTACGACTAACAAAGGGCAGGTGTGTAATCAGGGGTGTGTTATGGCTTGTCTAAACATGTCATTGATCACATTCAGCTTTCTGTGTCATTCACTGTCAACAGCAGAGCCATAGAAGTACATAAGGGCTAATTTCCTGAGGATTTACTTTGCTTTTCAAACAGTTTCCAGTACACTTGAAGTTCTTTGCTGCTGAAGCAACATTGCTGGGTTTAATCTAATGACAGGAGGAAAGACGTAAATCTTGTGAAGACTCTTCAGCAGATGAGTGTTTTACTTGAAGCCTTTTTTATCTTTAGTTCACTTGGAGGGTGGAATGCTTTCAGATTTCAGTGGAATATGACGAATCCAGTAAACAACTATACATGTTGAAGAAATCACTCGCTATGTGCAGTGATTGACAACATGGAATTACTCTGTGTTTAAAAGCATTACTGGAAATGTTGGAATGTCCTTAAGAATACTTTAAAGTTTCAGTAGTTTTTTATAGGACATCTGTTTCAGTTGGAAAAGGATTTTTTTTTCCCCTGGAAAAATGAAAAATTGAAAAATGAAAAATTTTCACTGATCATAATCATAAATTTACACTTTAATATCTTAACTGGATATTTTGTCTATTATTTGCTGCAGCTTTCTTTTTAAAATAGATTTTACTGTAACTGATTTATAAAAATACAATTTAGTGAAGTGTACACTGTTATACTTGTGCAGTATGTGGTGGAAACATCTTGATCTTAATGGCATCCAGATCTTGATGTAGATCAGTTTATGAATGGGAATGTAAAAGGTAACATTTGTTGTGACAGCAGACTCACCGGACTATAAAAATAGAAGTGAAATTAGAGGCCAATCCCTGGGCCATGTTGAACCTACACTCCCTATGGCACAGTACACACACGAGATGACTGAATGCATTGCTAGATGTAGTGGGAAGTTTTCCTTGGGATGCCTAGAGGCCATCTGCAGGCAGCCCCTGAGGCCATGCGAACATGATACAGGGGATGATGTTAGTGCAGATATCCAGTTTTGTCTGCGTTTTTCCATCTTGTCTTAATCCTAAGCTTGCCTTAGGTGAAAGGAAGTAGGGAAAAGAAGTTCTGTTCTGCCCATTTATTTTATCTGAAGCAAATCTCTGTAATAGTAATTTTGACACTCTCTTCATAGAAGCAATTTCTTTTGACATTTCATAAATTTTTCAGTCTATAGTTTTGAAGAGTAACGAAATGGAAATATGTTGTAACACCCATAAAATTGTCATCCAGACTTGGATAGGCAAGTCCAGAGTTTGCTTTGCTGGAATGAGAGAGAACAGTAGTATATTTTGGTTTGACCTTTTTTGTGGACTTAAAAGTCGAAAGGGATTCTCCCCTTTTTCACAAGTTGCGTTATATGAAGTATACCTACACAAAGACTATTAGTCACATTTGTCAATTTTTTTTTTTAAATCTTTATTGCCTGATGTGAAAAACTTGCAATCTCTGAACAGTGCAGGCTGAAGCCTGTATTTCAGAGATTTTGGTAGCCTTTCATGAAGTGAAATAATTTTAACAATGATTTTATTTTTTCATAAGTAAATTAATCTTGCGTTCACACTCTCTTTTCTTTTTCAGGTTTGCTCTCATGAACAGAAAAGTTTTAGATGTATTTGGCACTGAAGCATCTAAGAACTTCAAGGATTTCACACCTAAACTTGACCCAAGATACACAGTTGTGCCACCAGAGCTACCACTGGAGCTGTCTTGAACACAACAGCCTGGCTTGTCATTGAATGTGATTAGCATTTTGTCCTGAAAAGTTAATTAACTCGACAGTCGTATGTATGGAGGAGGGCTAGGGCTCCACTTCAGTATTATTTCAATGAGAAATGCTTTTTACCAATCGAAAATACTGCAGCTTTGCAGGAAGGTGTGGCTTAGTGATTTAGCCCCTTCTATAAGCAGAAAATATTTTTGGATTACTGTAGTTGATTGACCGTATGGTAGAATCCTGAATGAATTAAACAAATGAGTAATATATTTAGAGAAGTAAAACATAAATACACATCATAATTTCAAAAACTCTGTAGTTCATACCAGTAGAATATTTCTTGGTAAAACTAAAAGTAATTCCTAATTTAGAAAGAAAGACAATTGGCATAGTTTAGGTCCAAAATTTTACCTGGTCTTAGAAATGGGTGAAAATGCCTGCATGGTTTTCTAAATTGCGTCACTGATTTGTCTCAAAAGAGCCATTACCCACTCATTAGTTAAAATTATTTTTGCACAGCTGTGGTTGCAAAATAAGGCATTCCTTAGGAAAAGAAAATGCATATTGATTCAGAAATCACATTCCAGGGCTGCAGATTCCACTGATGATATAGATAACAGACAAGGAAAACAAGAAGGCGGTCCTGGTGGCTGCTGCGCTCCGAGGAGCAGCGGGTGTGGTGGTAAGCATCTGCCAAGTGGAAAAGGACAAACTGGCAGAGGAAGGAATGAAACGTTCCAGCCTCTGAGATGGTGCTGGAAACAGCAGACAGTTATGAAAATAAAAAAGCCAAGAACAAAACAACAACCCCCCCCCAAATACACTGAAGTGAAATGTTTATTTTTAAAAGGGTTTGACATTGTCTCCTTAGATGGCATCAGGTTGTTTGTCAGGCTGCAACGCCAGCCAGTGTTTCAAGCATTTCTTTAGAAAAGAGCTAACCCCTGAGGTTAGACTGTTACAAGAGAACAGTTTTGACAATCGTATTAATAGTGTTTTTTCCTTGTACTCGGTGAAGAATGGTTTTGCATCAGGGCATCAGACAGCCATGACTGGCACAGTTACATTGAATTTGATATGGTACTCAATGCAAATAACTACCTACACAAAGTCCATCTCATTTTTACCGTGCATATTTCTGCAGATTTATCTTCTAAAGTGAGACCTTGACGTGCTAATTGCTTTTTTTTTTCCTCTTTGGGGCTTTTTTTATTTAGAATCCATTCAGGTGATGTTGAATGATGTTCATTACCCTAGAACTTAATGAAAAGATGAACTATATTCACACTCAGCTGAAAAGAGGCAAGATAAGCCAGGGAATTGAAATTGCAGTAGGTTGCATGTATTTTAAAAATAAAAGAAGAAGAAATCAGTGTTTTATTGGACGTCTTTGTCAAATGACATGAATTGGACTAATTAATACACTCGTCGTCTTGTAACACTGTAGTCCTACCCCAGACATAAGCATATTTTAATTCCAGTTAATTGAATACGGAATATGCAGTAATTTTTATCAGATTTACAGAATTGTTGTGAAAATTGTACCAATTTGTGCACAAAATCTGTTTCTTCATCAGCTACACTAACAGTGATGCTTTATCACTGTTACTAAAGGTGCTTCATCCTTTAAAACAGTGGTTGTCAAGGTTAGTGTGAATAAAGTTTGGCAAGCTAGTTTGTATGCAATATTTTATTGCTTGAAATATTATATTAAAATTCCTCGAAAGGAAATAAAAGTTAATTCATCAAGAACTTTAAAATGATTGTAATAGGTTTGTAGTGTTTTTCCACTGGAATATGGTCTAAAATATTTGACCTTGTAAAGTTTGAGAAGTTATATATTTTAGGTGGTATATTAAAACTCACACACTATATTATGAATACTTTCTAGTGTAACTATATACCATTCTCAAACTTAAAGATATTTTATGGATGGATTAAGTTTCTTCACTGGAATGACAATTGTGATTGTTTCTCTATTTGAGGGTTTTTTTGAGAAAAAAAATCCAAGAACTACATCTCAGCAGCTAAACAAGAGTTTTGTCTATGTTTCTTGCTTCCAAAATTCACAGTCCTTGTTTTGAGTTATTCTCTTGTAATATAAAAAGAAATGAAAATTTTTTAAATTATTTTTATTCAAATCGAATATATGTAAGAGAAAAAAATAAAGTCCTAATGTTCTTCCCAATAATAAATAGTTGCTGCTTGAAAAAGTGACTTTTTGTCCATGTTGTTACCAATAAGCTCCCTGGAGTTGTAAGTGAAATAGAGTCATAGGATCATACAAAAGTTTGGATTGAAAGGGACTTTTTAAAGGCCATCTAGTCCAAGTCCTCTGCACTTAACAGAGATATCTTCCTCTAGACTGGATTGCTGAAAGTCCCATCCAACCTGGCTTTAAATGTTTCCAGGGATGGGGCATTGACTTCCTCTCTGGGCAACCTGTTCCAGTGTCTCACCATCCTCATTATAAAAAGCTTCTTTCTTATATCTAATCTAAATTAACCCTTCTGCAGTTTAAAACCATTAGCCCTTCAAGTAATACTTGGTGGTGAAGGAATGCCAGGAATGTGACTGAGCATTTAAATTGTGGGTATTTGTTGCACAATAAAGACCTAACACAGTGTAAGTGATGAGGTAACACCAAAGCAGTTCAGCTGACAACCTCTGTGCTTCCGCGGGTCATTATTATTAACTCTATGAGTTAATGTTATTTAATGTTTCTTTTTTAAACACAGAAAACCACGTTACCAGGTCTGCTGGCAGGAAAGAGCCACAGGGAAGAGCCTTCAGCTCTGTCTGCTGTGTGGCCCAGATGGTTGGGCTGCATGGACTGAAATGGCAGCATTTTCTGCCACCTGATGTGGCACGACTGGTTACTTTTTTACATCATTTGATGGGTGCCTCTTTGATCACATCAAACTTCTTGCAAAAGTTGATTTTGCAAGGGGAAATACAGAGGGAAGCTTGTTCAGGAAATGGTGGAGAGTGGTTGGTCAACCTGGAATGTCACAGTTCTGTGATAGAGGTTTGTATGTCCTTAGGGAGTCTGCTCAGGGCAACAGTGCTTGGCTCCCGGCAGGCATCTCAGAAGTCTGATGCCCTGTCTGTGGTCCCCAGAAGCAAACGCCTGTGGCAGGCAATTTTTTCACCTTTCCTTGAGGTTGGTTGCATGTATGGCTCCTCTGGAGTTCCTCTCCATCCCCACTGTTGCCCTTACTGTGCATCTCACTCTGTGGCTGTAGTCCCCATCTTGTACCCAGACCCCCATACTCCCTGTCAGCAACCTTTTGCCCCAGTTCCTCTTAGTTCTTCATCTCTCCCTCGCCTCTGTCCACCCAGTGTTATCTGTCCCCTGTCTTCGCTTCTGTCTTATGAATTGCAGTGACAGCCCTTGGGTGTCTCCTTTTGCTTCTCCTCTGGAACGGCTCCTTCACTGGACATCCAGGGCAGTGCTTGCTCCTGCCCAAGGGAGCAGGCAGGCAGGGATGTTCCCCCATGCACCCATCTTTTGCTGCCACCCTGGTGTTTTGGTTGGCAGAGCTGCTTTAGAAGCTGTGGAATTCAGCAGTCCAGATCTTGAGTTTTCCCCTCCCAATCCATGACATTCTGGCCATGACTAAGATATATGTGGAAAATCCCACAGCAAAGGTTGCAATCTTTCTTTGGTGATGGATGATCATTAATATGGTTTGCCTGCCCTCTTTCAGCTACTCTTCATGGTGTATGAGTTTGCTTCCATTGCAGACCTTCATCGTTCATTCCCAGTCCTTGTTGGAGGTGATGGTGAAGATGTTGACATCTGCCACTGAGGAGAATCCTCCACTAAAGGAGAGGATTTTGTTTTTTTCAGAATCACTTTAAATGTAGCTCAAGGCTGAGATTACTGCAGATTTTTTGGGTTCCTGTGTGGTAGATACTTCCACCAGGGAGTGCATGAAGGCACATAGAAATTTTCATCTCTTAGAAAGCTAATAATAAAAGCAAAGAGTGCCTACAATAACACATTTTTAGTTTTTATAGATAATGCCATCTCTGTTCATGAGGAAGATGAGTAAAACATCAGATCTGCTTCAGTGTAGATGGAGCAATTTCACTACTGAAGGTAAAAGTGTGAGTGTCCTTGTATTGCCTCACAGCTGGGTCTCCAGGACAATCGCAGCTCTGCCTTCTGTAGGTGACATCTCTCCAGGCAAGGCTGCTCTCAGAAAATACAGGTTTCTGTTGAGTGGTCAACTAGGTCCATGCTCCTCATCATTTCTTAAACACAAGGAGAACCAAGGTGCCTTTCATAATATGGACAAACTGTTCTAGTAGCTTCCTACACCTCTTACAGCAGGACTGGGACCCTTTTAACCGACACTGCTCAGATGGGACGTTTCTGAGAAATGCCAGTAAGACTCAAAAATAATTTTCAGAAAACTTTTTGGGTCATTCCCCTTTGAGACTTTCCCTTTACAGACCACCATGCTCTCACATTTTTTTTTGAGGACATGGGAATGGTTTTTTTCCAGATGCCTGGTGACATCCCAGGCAGAGGAGTCTGCTGTGGTCTAAGCCCAGCCCTATGTTCAGTGAGTTAAAAATTTTGGACAGCTCGTGTGAAGCTTCGATTTCCAAATCTGCCAGAGGGAAATATTTCTGGGCAAGTGGTCCTTGGGTGTGTGTGCATTGACAAGGCACAAAAAGACACCAAGAAAACCAGTGATGCTTATACTGAGCTTTTACTTTGTTTAGGATTTTTTCCCACAACTCTATTTAACGTGGAGTGGAGGCAGGGCCCAGGCTGTCTATGGCTGGACTCAAATGGTTTTAGAGGTCTTTATCAACTTATGTGATTCTATGATTCTGCATCAGGGTTATGAATCCTCACTGTGATGCGGAAGAAGCATAGGACTAGGGAGAGAGGACAGGATGTAGCAAAATACAGTTGGGGGCAGCAAAGTTGTTTTGGTGTCTGTAGCTTTGTGCCTAAATACCAGTCTGGAGATTGTCATTTCCAGATTGACTTTTCTTAGCAGTGAAGCTCTACCCAAGGAAACTGCTATTTCCCTCACTCCAGCTCAGTCCTTGTGCTGCACCTGGGTGGATCCAGCACTGGTGGGTAATTGCAGGTTACTCAATTTGTATATTGGGGGATTGTCTCACAAGTCTCCTCCTTTTACAAAACAAATACATTTTCCCCCACACCTCTGAGAATGCAATAGAAGAATTTGACACTTTCCCTTGAGCTACACAGTTTCACAGGTTTTCTTTTTATTTAATAGCATATCCTGAATGATACATTAACAGTAGGATTTAAGGCAATAATTTTTCCCCCTTAAGAAGCCTAAAATTGACATTGTGGATGTACTGGCAAAATCACCCAGTGCTCTCCCTTGCCTATAACCACACTGAAATGAGATCACATCACTCAGGACACAGCACTCAGCTTTTGCAGCTGAATGATTATGTCCTTCCATCTTCATCAGAGGACACTTGTTTTACCAACATGTTTCTTTGAATGTGGCAAGCAAGATGTGAATTAGAGCCTACTTTGATCTTAAGGATTTTTTTTTCCTGGCAAAGGTCAGGCAGTTTTCCACTTGCTAATTAAAACATAGAGCAGTCAGAAGAATTTTAAATATAATGCCAAGGTTTTACACGGGGTGGAAGAGTCTGGTTGGAAATCCAGGCGAATGATTAATCTTCTCATGCCAGTGGAATCCAATTGATGTTTTTTCCCTTCAGCTGCCACAACAGAGACATAAAAACATTGCTGTGGCTGTTGGAGCAGGAGCTGATGGGACTGCTCCCAGGACTGCTTGAAGGTTACAGAAGACCTAATCACACAGGGTCAGGGACAAAGATGAGGCGCTTTTTTTTGTATTTTCCTAGTATTTTAGAGTGAAAACCTGCTTTCCCATTGCAGGCAGTAAAAGCTTGCAAGAAGGGACAGGTTAGGGTGGGGTGAACAGACTTGGTGTGAGTGTCCCACATTAAAACGCTGCTGCTTGCACCAAATTGATACAAACATAGAAAAAAAAATTCTAAACAACCTAGAAATGTTTTGCTCTTTGTCTATTGGCTGTGAAAAAAAAATAAACCCAAGCATTTCCAGCCCAGGTCACTTATAATTGTATTGACAAGCAGATTGAACATATCAAACCATCTTGCACTGAGATGCTCTTGCTCCTCCTTGGAAACAAAAAATAATATCCTTTAGGCAATTTGAAACCACGCCAGAAAGTGTCCCCTTGGATGACCTGTGACCCCTTCTGGATGGTGCCCATGGCCCTGTGCAGGGAGGGGGGACAGCTCTCAGCTGACCACACTGGCTGTACGGAGCTGAGGTCTGGTCTACTCTACGGCATTGTGGGGTAGGCACTCACCACCTCCTCCAGTGTAAGACCTGGCAGCACCAAGCAAAGTTTAAACTTAAGCAGATTTAAAGCAAATTAAAGAAAAAACGAAACTTTCCCCCTCACCATGATGTCCAACTCAACTGGGGAACACCTTTTCTGTGACCATTTGCAGGAGTTGAAAAAGTGACTAGCTACACCCAAAGACTTACAGAAGATGTTGGCTCATGAGGTGCAATTCTCACCCCGTTACCACCTCTGCTGTGTGGGTTTGAGACTGTATTATCAGCACATAATGTTCACCTAGAGGAACTTTGAGTACTGTGTAATGAGGAATGGTCACTTGGACAAAAGTCACCTTCCAGGACTGCCTGGCCATAGCCCTGCTTAGCAGGATTGGTGGGACACTGGCAACCCATTGCAGCTTGTCAGACACCAGAGGCACCAACCCTTGTCTCTGGAAGGATATGATCTGTCTGTAAGCAGTAATATTTACTGTTTCTCACTGGCTTGGTGAGAGATCCACCAGGTGGGTGTATTTCCCCACTCCTAGAACGTACCCTTGGTGAAGCCCACAGTGCTCAGGGCTTATGGAGTCATGGTGGAAAACAGGCGCATTTCCACCAGCCCCATATTCAGTAGTGCCTCCCAAAAAGGTGATCCTGTCCCTGTGCCTTTACTTAGTCCTTCTGTGTTTCTGTTACCTAGTGCTCTGTGTCAGCCCCATCAGAGAATCGGTTTGGGTTGGAAGGGGCCTTAAAGATCATTTACTTCCACCCCCCCTGCCATGGGCAGGGACACGTTGCACTAGACCAGGTTGCTCAAAGCCCCATCCAGCCCAGCTTTGAACACTTCCAGGGTTGGGGTATCTACAAA